AGAAAGATCTTTGTTCATAACCTTTAACAGTGTCCATAAATTTCACATTGAGTGAATCACCTTTTATTCCAGAACAATCATTATATTTGTTTAATATTTGGAAAACTTGTTTTGCAAATATTGTCATTAATCCTTACAACATCATTGTGAGAGTAGTAGTATTCCCTGCTTACTCATGATGAGATTAAGTTTCCAATGGTTTAAGCAATTTATACATGTTCACATGGCAAATATGGAGTGAAGCTGAGACACAGGCTTCTGAGATTCTGAAGGTAATCCACCAGTTCTATTTTCTCAGAACAAAATTGTAATGAAGGAATATTTAGATTTGAAAGAAACATTGTTGGAGGGGGTTTAATGTACTTCACTGATTCTGGTCAGTGTTCTAAACTCCTCTGATTTATTTACATTTTGGTCAGGGGTCATATTTTCCCCTTCCCAAAGGAATATATAGTTTAAGCATCATGCTATGCATTATACTACATCATCACACTTAATTCTTACAAAATAAAATATAGCTTTATCCCCTCTTCCCATTAGTTTTACTTATCAGGAGACTGACTTATTTCAAATTACCCAGACATTAAGTGGAGACTCAATATTTAAATCTCTTATTCAAAATTTTATCTGCCTAAGAATCTATATTTTTTATATTTATTAATTCAAGACACCAACCAATAATCCACATGAAATATTGTGTTTTTTCTCTGTATACTTGTGTATCAAGGTCTAAATAATTTAAACATATGTACAACCTAATAGAAGGCTTTCTTTGAACAAAAAGAACTGTATTCAATAATAATTATTTTGTGGTAATGTGTTGGTATTTTACTTAGCTTGCAGAGAATGTAGCCACTCAATTATATTAATTGGAGCATGCACCTCATAGTCAAGAAATTTTAAGAGGCCACTGATATATTGGGGCACATATAGCATGGCTTTGTTACAAATCCTATCTTATGGGAAGCAAATGTCATCTCCATGGAAATCAACACCCCTTGGGTTTTGCTGGATCTTCTCACTCTGACAATGGCTAATTGGTCATCAGGGATCATGGGTCCTCTAATCCTGACAGAACCGGTGAATGACTTCTATAGTCCCTCAATTGGCAGTCTGATGCAGGGAATTAAAGGTGATTTTCCTGCATGTAATGGAATGTGAACACATTGGCATCCATTTCCTTTGGATTTTTTAATAGTTATTCATTAATTTTCAGAATACATTTTATTATTTATATTTCAGGCTCACAGCATGATATGGGATTCACTGAGAGAGTGAAATGGTCATCATGGTGAAGCACATTAACATATGTTTCATCTCATGGGATACTCACATCTGACTTTTTTGATGACAAGAACAGATTAGATCTATTTAACAAAAGTCCCTAACAACCCAATTTTATTAACTCTATCTTCATTTTGTACATTATATCTCTGGACTTGTTTGATCTACATCTCCCCATTTCTACCCAACTCCCTGCATATGGCAACCAGTGCTTTATTTTCCATCTCTGCAAATTTGACCCTTTAAAATTTTTTTCTCCTAAAATTGAGATAGGGGCTGGAGTTGTAGCTCAGTGGTAGAGCACTTGCCTAGCATGCATGAGGCACTGGGTTCGATCCCTGGCACCACATAAAAGTAAACAAAATGAAGGTATTATGTCCATCTACAACTAAAAAATATTTTTTAAAAAGTGAGATCATGCCATATTTTCTTTCTATGTGTGGTTCACT